TGGGTCCTCTTTTCTGCACGAGCTCTTCTCCTGGGGGAAGACAGGAGCAGAGGTGCCAAAAGCGATGATTTCTTGAGCAAATCTCAGACATTTGCTGTTGTTGAGGGGCAGAGGCCAGGCTCTGCAGTGCGCTGAAAGGACATCCTGGGGGCACATGGAGGAGTCTGAACACAGGGCCCTGGGACGTGCTAGAGAGCACCAGGGATGTTCTGAGGGGACATGAGGGCAAAAAGGGGGCCTGGAGGCCCCCCAAGAGCACTTGGGTGCCCAGGACTGAGCAGGGCCTGTGCCCCCAGGGACACCCAGTGCCTCCCTGCCCAGGGGGTGGGTCACTGGGCCCTGTTGCTGGGGGGGGGAGGGTGCCCTGTCAACAAGCACTGGGACCCATTGCTAGGGGCAGGTGGCAGGTGACAGGGGGGCCCTTAGTGACACCCACTGCTGCAGGTGTGGTCAGTGTCATGCAGGACAGCAACAGGGGGGCCTTTGTGACACCCACAGCAGCAGGTGTGGTCAGTGTGCGTTCGGACAGCAACAGGATAGGACGGGAGCACGGAGCTGGCGAGGAGCCTCTGAGCACAGCCCGATTTTCCCTGCTTCTCTGGCAGCCCTGTGCTGCTGGGGCGTTTCCCCAAAGTTTCCCCCTTTCCCCACGTCCAGCCTGTTTATCTCACCCACAGGACAGAGAAGAGACCTCCCTGGGAGGAGGGCGGGGCTCTCCAGGAGAGCAGCTCTCCAGCAGAGCCCTCTGAGCTGCCCTGCGAGGAGGGAGGCACAGGGGGAGAAGGTGCCTGGAGCCAGAACTCTCAGATCTGCTGGAAGTGGCAGTGAAATACCACCCGCTGAGGGGCTGCGGATACCCCAGGAATGGGGGGGACCCTGGTCCTGTGCCACAGGCTCTCGGTCTGCACCCTGCAGCAGCCTGCAGGAGGCTGTGGGCTCACGGGGAGGGGGAGGCACAGGGCCGGTTTCCATGTTAAACGAGCAATCGAGGGCAGGAAGTTGCTGACATGGCGTTCTGTCTGAATCACTGGATTAATCACAGGGCACCATGGCGAGTGAGCTCCCTGGGCCTGCTCCTCTGTCAGCCCTGCACAGCCCCTGTGCTGGGCAGGGACCCAGCCCAGCCTGAGCTCCAGGAGCTCTGGTAACCCCTGCACTGCCTGCCTGGGGGCTGGGGGTCCC